TAGTTCCACAAATTTACGAGCTTAGTATAATAAGAATGGAACGCCCACACTGGATATATATTTTTTGAAGAGCCGCATCCCATGCGTCAAGTTTGCCCTTAAAGACAAGAAGCCCACAGTAAGCGAATCTCCATCGTCTGATCGATATGCTTGGGACTAAAGTTAGCATTTACTACACAGGCTTCATGCCCAACTATTGTGCACTATTCTCACCCTTCTCCTACAGTCCTTTCATTTAAGTATTGCATACTTACTAGCGTCTTTTTTTCTGTTATATTCTCCAGCCAAACACCACCTGCACGCATAACCAGCAGAACGACGAGGGCGACCAGGCAGCACCATCATCAGCCGCACGGGAGGGCTCAACTAACCTCCCATCTACGCTCCTGCTCCACAATAATACTCAAGGGCAGCAGTCCGAGGCTACCAATGACAAGCCTGAGATTGCGGTTGAAAAGAGCGGATGCGGGGCCAGCTTGCGTGATGCCAAGAAGGTGGATGTTGAGAAAATGTACACCGAATATATGGACACTGTGAGGGTTAACCGGAGATCGGGTTAGTGCGAGCCTTTTCGCTTTCAATCCCCCCCCCGCCCCCGCTCACTGTCTCCGACCCGAATGGACATGTTTAAGTCCTTTGTTTCTTTCTTTAGAAAAAAATGTTTAAGAATGCATTTCTTAGCAAGAGAATATTTGTAACTCTCTAAGTCGGACAAGGGGTTTTGACAAATTAGTGTGCAGAAGTGAGTCCAAGAACGTAGTCGGAAGAAAGGAGGGCCTTACTCGCCTGTCGTTTTGGATTCACTTTTATATCCATCAGAAAGATCATCTGGGACTATTTTTGATGATTGATTTGCGTGGGAGTCCGAAACACCCGGCAGATAATGCTCTTGTTCTAGCCAATGAGTTCGGTTTGTCTTCATTTAAGTTGTCGTTTGTTTAAATTAGTCCGGTACCTGTTTCTAGTCTGTGAACCGATTTTAAACTCTAAGTTTGCCAATTTCTGATAAAGCACGGTTGCATTTGGCCTTTGTCAGTCAAATTCGATCGGTAGTTCATCATAAGAAACAAATTCCTGAAAGATGTGGTACATTAAATGTGGACGGGCTTGCGAAAATAATTATGGAACAACGGGACCCACAAAACTCTTAGAAAAAGCATGTTTCGTCTAGGGGGTTTGATTCATATAGAGACGTTCTTCATCGGAATTCTAAAATATTTTTCCCGACAAAATATTGTTTACTTGGGTGGGCTTGTAATATTGATTCCCGTGTCGCATACTGTCAAGTACTTCATGCACACCTGATGACTGGCTTTTGAATATGTTTATTTTCAATCGAACGCAAATACTTCGCGCGCTAAATTGACTACTTAAGAAGTATGGTATTTCCATAGATTTTAGATGCTTTTATAAATAAAAGTCGAAATAAATGTACATAATATAAGTGTTCTTTCTTGTCCCTTATTTGGAGGGATCTTACGTCCCCCTTAAAGATTTTGCCTTTTCTAAACTAAAATTGATGTAATTAGAATGTAATTAAAATCGCATATTTCGCGATCGTATTAAAAAGACACCCTTAAGG